AAAATATTGTCCCTTAACATCTTTAAATTCTTTTTTGTTTGTTTTGCAAACTCGACCTCCATACCAAAAAATGACTAATTCGGAGGACAAATTTCCTGCGGAAGGCATAACTGAAGTCATAGTAAAATTCTATATGAAATTTTTTCAATAGTTTATTAAATGCATTAAACATGTTAGAAGTTATATCCAATGTGTATATTGTTATGAAATCTCTTAATTTTTCTATTGAATTGATTGTCAACTTTTAATACAAATATCTTAAACATATAAAACATTTCACATTTATTTGTTTATTAGATATACATGAGTATAGTTAAAACAACCATCAACAAATTGATAAAATATCATCTTTCAATTGTTAGATATTTGAGTAAGATAATTATGGATAACTTCGAGAAATTGTGTTCGTACACTTTCTGAACAAAGTATTTCGACCCTATTATTTGTTTGGGTTCACGAAATTTTTGTGGGGATAATTCTTGAAGAACAATCTGCTTCTGGCAATAGAGAACAGATCAGGAATGTAGAGAGAAAGTATGATTTTTATTTTTTGTGTATTTGAACTGAGGCCAAATGACTCCTTATATAGGAGATTAATAACAGAAACCGAAAACACACAATTGTTCAACAATTTCGAACGGGTTCAACTGGGCAAAAACTGTTCAAAAAAATTTCGATTGAGAGGTTGGTAAATTACTCAAACACATATGACATAATAAACTCATCTGATAGAAGTGTTGGTTTAACATAGTGAAAGTTGAAATATACAACGTATATCATTAAAATCAACAACTAACTACATATAAATCATCATCAACAACATCAACTTTTATCAACAACATATGACTTTTATTAACAACGTATATAAAGCAAAACTAAATCATCAACAACATCCAACTTTTATCAACTACACACCTTAAACAATATACAACACACATAGATATCAATAAACTGATATAATCTGTGTAAAAACCTTTACATTGTAATCATTATTCAAACCCCTACAAACTTGCTATCAATTCACCAAAAATTGCTCATGAGCATTTTGATACATTTGACATACAATGCATAGATATTGCATCATGTAAAACCGAAATAAAAATTCACCGTGCCAAATAAAAATCCTTTGTAACATCAAATGGACGGAGTAGGTCGAGGAATGATGTACCTTAAAAGTTCTTCAAAAGTGATGAATATTAGAACCTATACAAAGAAAAATAGAAGAAAGCATATGAATAACATGATTACATTTATAAAATACTATCAATAAACTAATATAATCTAAGTAAATACATTCACATTGTAATCATTATTCAAACCCCTACAAACTTCCTATCGATTCGCCCATGATTGATCATGAGAATTTTGTACATTTGGCATACAATGCATACATATTGCATCATGCATGTGAACTTGAAATTAAAAAGTCACAGTGCCAAATAAAAACTCTTTGTAACATCAAATGGACGGAGTAGGTCGAGGAATGATGTACCTTAAAAGTTCTTCAAAAGTGATGAATATTAGAATCTATAAAAAGAAAAATGAAAGAAAGTGTATGAACAACATGATTATATTTACAAAATACTATCAATAAACTAATCTATCCTGAGTAAACACCTTCATAGTGTAATCATTATTCAAACTTCTACAAAATCTTATCAATTCACCCAAAATTGCTCATGAGCATTTTGATACACTTGACATAAAGTGCATAAATATTGCATCAGGTGAAACTGAAATAAAAAATCACCATGCCAAATGAAAAATCTCTATAACATCAAATGAATGGAGTAGGTCAGAGAATGACATGCCTTGAAACTTCTTCAAAAGTGATTAATATTAGAACCAATACGTAGAAAAATGGAAGAAATCATATGAATAACATGATTATCATTTAGAAGAAGAAGAAGAAGAAATGAATAAGAAACATAATTGATCTTGATTGCCTTCTAGTATAAATAAGATGAAAGACGGGTTCTATGAAAAAAGACAAGATACGAGTACGTTAGGTGTGGAAGATAGATATTCTGATTTTGTGTTTTGAGCGAGATAATTATTCTTAGTTGACAGTTTTTCTAACTTTGCATATGCGCGTGCGTGGGTGCGTGCGGGCGTGCGTGTGGGCGTACGGGCTGACGTGCGTGCATGTGTGTGCGTGCGTACTAAGAGAAATCATGATTAAATGTCAATATTATTCACAACGGTTTTTAATACTAATCGTGATCATACATATTTTTATTTTAATATAACTTTAAGAATACATGGACAAGCCCTTTTTATAGCGTGAGAAAATGTTGATGCTAAAATTTAAAGTATGTAACTTTTCATAATGTTTTTTAATAAAATAAAAATAAATTCAACTGTATTAAGATGAATTATTACTAAATTGTTTAATTACATATAGTAATAGGATGTATTAAGGTGAGTTATTACTAAATTGTTTTAATTACATATAGTAATATGATGTTATTGAAAGTATATTTTATAGTAGTGAAATTTTGTGAAAAAATTTAAAGATTCTCATCTGTTTCAAATATGTTTTTACTTCCATTAAAATGAGTAGTGGTTATCATATTTGTTACAAACATGTTTTTACTTTTCACTATCTTTAATCATTGCTTTAAAAATATACTATAACATTTAAATATGCATAATTGTAACAAAGTGGACTTATATAGGCTAAAAATATATTAAAGTTATTACCTAAATAGGCTTGTACTCATTAAAAACAATATGACACGTGATTCATATTACTCCTACACACAAATCATATCTCCATTTGAGAACCCATAAAAAAAAAGTCTTAATATGCTTTATATCTCTCAAGCATATATATATATATATATATATATATATATATATATATATATATATATATATATATATATATATATATATATATATATATATATATATATATATATATATATATATATATATATATATATATATATATATATATATATATATATATATATATTTCAAGAATCTATATTAAACCAAGTTGGAGGCGTTATTAGTTTTTATACGTCGGTACATGATCTATTCAATGAAAAAATATAGCATCTCTAGAATTCTCTTTATTCTTATTTTTGAATGGCTAAAATCGGTTTAACATTGACTTGACTGCATCCATTTTCCAATTACGACAATATCTAGTTTGGAATCTCGATTACTTTTTGTCAATTTAATAATTTGATATTTATAATTTCATTTTTAAAATGAATAAATAAAATATCATGAATTCAAATCAATAGCAAGATAATATAATAGGATATAGAAATATTATGGTGACACCATCCCTTACATTTAAATTGTATTTATTATTTATAAATACGATGAATAATACATAATTAGTATATCAACATTGATCGTGTGAATAGTGAAGTGTACCTGTATGAATAATCACTTTTAATAGTTAAATAAAGTTGATGATCAAATATAAAATGTTAGTCAATAAAATAATAAAGTTGTTTAATAAATATGCAGATATTAAAAATAATTTTTAATAATAAAATAAAGTTGATTAATAAAAAGTTAAAAGTTAAATAATAAAAAATAAAAAATTAATTAATAAAGTGATGAAGTTAATTTATAAACGTCTATATGTTAAAAGTAATTTTTATTAATAAAATAAAGTGAATTATTGAAAAGTAAAATATTGATTAATAAAGTTATAAAGTTGATTAATAAACATAAAATATTATAAATAATATTTAATAGTATAAAAAAATGATTAATAAAATATAAAATATTAATTAATAAAGTTATAAAATTATGTGATCACACATATTTATATCGGTATTCTTTATTTTTTTAAAAATGTATTTATATACTTTTTAAAAATTATTAATTGTTATAATATTTTATTGTATTTTATATTTATAAATAGTAAAATACAATATAGTGTAAGTCCAGTGTAAGAATATCCTTTATAATAATGTGATATTCTTACACAATAATTAAGGTTGAAATAGAGGGTTTAGAAAAATACTTATGATAACAAATTAATTCCTTACACACATTTTATTTTTTTCTCCTTGAAATGAAACCTACTTGAATAATTTTTTCCTTAATTTTGGGAGAGAGAAATTTAGACAGTGTCATCTTAGTATTAAATGAAAAAGAATTTTATTATAAAAAGAAAAAACTTAATAATATTGTCCTCTAACAAACTTAAATTAAATAGAAAAATATTTTATACGTAGATATTTTAAATTTAATGATATTCAATATTTTTAAAGAGACAAATGCATGAATAGATAAATTAATCAATATAAATTTTACTATTGACTATGATACTTGTATAATTCACTTTAAATTTATATTTAGTCTCTATTTGGTCAAAATAGTCGTTTGTTGATAAACTAGTTGATAGTTTATAATTTACGACTAATAGTTGATAATGGATAATTTATAATTTATAATTGATGGCTGATGATTGATAACTGATAAACTGATTAAAGTATTTGGTAAAATTAACAGTTTAATTACTTAATAAATTAAAATTATATAAAAGATATTTAATATATAATTATTTTATTTAAATTAAAATAAATTATAAAGAATTGTATTGAATTTTAGTTGAAATAATAAAGACAAAAATGAAACTAAAAATGATAAACTAAAAGCTATAAACTAAAATCTCATTTAAAATAGCATATAAAAAATAATTTATAAATTAATAAAATAAACTATAAAATCGTGATGAAAAAATTCTCACTAAATTTTATTTTTATTGTTGTCATATAACATATAAGTTATAAACTTGAAAAATATCTTATCAAATAGAACCTTAGTTAACATTGACAACTATTATTTTTTGCTTAGCTTTAGTATCTCATTCTTTTTATTTTGTTTTATTTATTCACTAATTTAACTTTAATATAAAAAAATCTAACTCCACTACAACCAACCCATTATACCTCTATTTAATCCTTCTCAGAGTACTATTGAAACCATACTCACTCAATATAGTTGAGAGTGAGAACTGAAAAGATATGCCTGTGTTTCAGCATGTCCATAGAGAAAAGGAGATCACTCAAGATCAAATCAATGCTGGAAATAAAATAATGCAAATATTAATAGATGCAGATGTGAACGAAGACGGGCGTTTATCAAAGGAAGAGATCAAGAAAGCTCTAAAGAATTTAGGTGCCTACTTTCCTGGATGGAAAGCAGACCGTTGTCTGAAGAAACTTGATCGCAACGAAGATGGCCAAATTAATGATGACGAAATTGACGATTTAGTTAATTACCTTGTTGGCCAAGGTTTTGGAAAGTAGTCCAAGAAATAACTAAGCATCCCTTCCATATCTATGTTATCTTCTATCTCCCCATATTTGCTATCTTAGTGGCTTTGCTCAAATCACAATTAAGAACTAAAATTCTGTTATGTTATTCTGAGGTTTCATGAATGTATAAATAAAGAAATCAAATATAATATGTATAATGATAAATTCAAAATGACTAGTAAGAAATGGGTTTTGGATTTGAATTTTTTTATTTTATTTTATTTTATAAATTGATTAGATTGATTCATTATTTATAAAGTTTATTAGGAGTTTTGGAGGGTACGTGATCTTCGAGACTTCCGGTTAGAATTGGTGGAGAAGCCAGTATGTTGGAAAAACCAGTATGTTGTATCCATTTTTACCAACAATTTATAAAAATCCGCTATACAATATGCATTTTATCGACAATTTGAAAAAAATTGGTAAAAACTAATAGGTTTGATACAAATTTGGAGTTATACAGATTACAATTTAACTTTAAATCGAGAATTATCTCAAGAGTTATACTGATTATAAATCACCAAAATATGAGAGAGTGTTCAATGGAGATAAAAAATAGAGAGATGGAAGACACTCATACATCAGAGGTTGTCTTCACAACCTTGATCAAAACACAACATCCATCTTCTACACAAATTTTTGGAAAGAGGTAAAATTTGTTCAGATGTGGTGTTTGGTCATTTGAAACGTTTTTATAACGAGTCTAATTTACGAAGATTGACATTAAGTCTCTTATACAAAATGTATTAATTGTTTAAGAATTTTATATAACTATGACTAATTTATGAGATCAATTGAATGAAATTGTGAAAGCATACACATATCAAAGAGAAGAACAACATCTCCTTTAATTTCAGATGACTCTTCAAGATAATTTTGAGTTTCTTAGTGGGAGTATTCTAAACCACAATCCTCTTTCCTGTGTTGATTAAGTTGTTAATAAGGATTTTTTATAGAAGAAATTAGACTAAGTGTCACTTTAATCTTTCATCTTTACACTCATTTATTTTTGCTGCTCCTATTTATAAAGAAAAATCTCAATTGACGTAAAATATTGAATCGAACTCTAATTAGCATGCCGTCAAAATTTGCTCACATGCTGATGTCGAAGACATACGTGCTGTAGTCGAATTGTGTTCTAGTATGTAGCTGTCAATTTGAGTCTTATGCTAAAGATCCAATTATTTAAGTTAGCTTTTACCCTAAGTTAGTTTGTAATGGATAATTGTTTTAAAAAAAACCATTACAAACTAACTTAAGTGTGACAAAACCTAATTAAGTTAAGAGAGTTATTTGTTATTTTTGAGTATTTGTAATCTGTTTTATAAAGAAAGTAAAGAATAACAGTTATAATCAATCATTGTTTTTCTTTAACCCTAATCCTTGTGTGTTTTTTGATAATAAAGAAATCGAGTATATTTTGTTTTAAGACATCCTAATTTACAAAAATGGAGAATTGTAAATTGTATTAATTAATGTGCTTTAGCAAGGAAAAAAGTCACCAGGAAATAAAAAATAAAAAATTACACTCATCTCCCTTGAGGTCTGTTAAAATGACACTGATACCATCTTTAATTTTAAAATATGTATAAACCTTTCTAAGTTTATATATATCACGAGAATTTTTTAATGAAAGACCAAAAATCATAAGTAAATGTCATTTATACCTATAATTTTTACCATCACTTAAAATTAGAAGAGGTGCTGAAATCATTTTAATAGACCATAGGAGAGATGAATGTAATTTTCCCTAAAAATAATTTTAATAGTCTATAATCATCAAATGTTATTTGGGCAACTCCTACTACCATTGTTTTGGTTTTGGTCTTGGATTCTCATCTAATACAACTTCTCAATTACTTGATATTGTAGAGAAACTTGAAAGATTTTTTCCACTAAATCACATGTCATGACTGACTCTTCTATTAAAGGCTTTGACTCTTGTAGTTTCACAAGTATGCCTCTTTCTGTATGAATCATTTACCCTAAATGATGCTTTATCTATGTAGGTTATGAGTGGTGATGACACTCATATGCAACGACCAAACATTTATTTTATCTCCACAACAAAATATTTCATTTTCTTATTTCTAGTGTTACTTTGAGTCTTTCTTTATTATGAAAATGTGATTTTGTTTGTTCCATTGCATTTTATTTCACTTTATGTTGTGTGCATGATCTATATTTTAGGATAATGATTGGGACAAACAGTAGAGAAGGGGATTTTATGCACTAAAAATAAATAAGAAAATTGTGGCGGATACGAAATTGATTTTATGGGGTTTTAAATGGCCACAAATAACGCCAATGGTGTTTTTTGAAAAAACTGTAAATTTGACTGCCGCAAAACTAAATAGGTCAGTTCACGTTGACCACTACACAAATTGTCATAATATACAGAAAAAAAGTATTAAAAAAATAGAATGTTTTTCTTTTTTTATGCAATTATGTGTAGATTATATGAATTTTTTTAACGGTATAATAATTAGATTCATCCTTGTCACAAAATGTTAAAGAATTGAATTGAAAAATACACTTGCAATTTGGTACCAAATTTATCAAACGCAAAAATATGAACATCGAGAAGAAATAAAAATTAACAGAAAAACTGCAAAAATTTAACATCAAAATTATAGTAAAACACTACAAATCCAAACCTTATCCTTTATCCCATGTGTGCTATTTTTAGGCCAGGATCTATGGGAATAGTATGCTACAGCTTGGGACAAGCAGAATTTTGTTCAAGAATGAAAACCTACAAGAACAGATAGATGAATGAATAGAGCAGATCAGACAAACCTCTTTCACATCCCGTAAAAAGCAAGCCTCTCTCCCTACAAGATAGTAATCAATCTTGCTCTTTCCATTTAAGGTTTAGATACTCAAGAGAGCTTTAAAAAAAAATCTCACATCTATAACTTTCATTAACTACTGAGTGATGACAGAAGTTAAAAACTCTCTTCTATGTAAATTTCATCTCTTTCTCAATGAAAATACTATTCTTTTTAAAACTTTTTTCATTCTATAATATTTTCATTTATTCAATTTTAATTAGTGATCTTTTGATTTTTAAAAAATAGATGAAGCTTATTTTCAGTCAAGACCGCGCCATCACCCCAGTAGAAGAAACCGTTCTCATTATGGCTGAAAATTGATTGTTGTATGTAGATTTTTTTGTAATTGCTTTTGTAGTAATTGTTTTTGTATGACTTTTGTAATTGAGTCTTTTTTAGAATTTTACCATTTACGAAACTTTCTTTTTTTTCAAAGCTGAGTTATTAATTATGGAGTAAAAAAGGATCATGTGATACTTGAAGAAATTTCATACTCTAAAATACAGTAAAATTGAATTATTTAATGCAAGCACAATGAGTAAGAGTGGTTTCTACTGCACTATTTTTTTCTTACAGAAATTATATCTTACTTTTGTTGCAAAACATTATTCATTATACTATAGTTTTAACTTTTTGCTTTTGTTGTTAGTATGTTTTATTTCTTAATGATACTTATTTGTATTTTGTGAGTATAAACACACCATAAAATATGTAAGTATGTAATTTAGATTTTCATAATATAAACAATTATTTCATCAACATTATTTTTTAAAATGACGTTGTTTTTAATGATGTTAGTTCTTTCGTTTTAAATTTTTATTTCTATCTTACTTTTTATTTGCTATTTGCTATTGCAAATATCTATTTGTGTGGTAATTTAATTATGTTTTGGAAATGGTTTGTGTTTTTTCCATATTAAAAAATCATTAATCCGGTTAACATTATTTGACATATAGAATAAAAGAAGAGATGAGGAGAGGATATAAGAGTGTTACATATCAATTTCTCATATTAACATGTTTTTTGTTGAATTTTTTAATGAGTACACACATAGAAATATAAATGAATAAAAAATTCAACAAATTATTATCATCTCATTGTTAGATCTGCATTTGAGTGTTTGATTATGAGAAGTTTCAGATTCCTATATTTGGTTGCATGTGGGTTGAAAATAATAGTGGCATACTGATCTGACCTGATCAGAAGGGGGTCACTGGCTGACCACACGCTGTTGGACTGCTACCTGTTCGCCGGTGTTGAAGAGAAGGAGGGGGTGTACCTGCAAGACACTCTGATGCCAAAGTAAGTAGGGGCAGAGTGATCACACATAAATGGGGTAAGAAGTGAATTACCTGACCCTCTTGTGAAAGAGGGTATTTATAGAGACACCCCAGCGCTGGGCCAACGGTCACTTGTGTTGGACTGAATTGTCAGGCCCAACCCAGGTGACTGCTAGGGCTTACGTGGCGTAGTGAAGACAAGGATGTGGTTTTCACCCTAGTTCAACTGTCCCATGATCTCCGGAAAGTGGGTTTGACCTGCTCTTTCAGAGGTGGACAGTTGGTGGACGACGTGTCCCTGCGGAGGGGAGCACGTGGAGAACGTGCACAGGACACGTTGCTCTCCCCGCAGAGGGAAGCTTGGGAGGTTCCCCGGAAGTATGTCGTTCTCCCCGCTGAGAGCGGAGCACACGAGGGCGGGGGGGAGGCACGTGGTCCTGCCCGACGACATGGGGATTCTGCCCACGAAGGGCTGTTCTGCCCGACGAGGGGAGAGCGCCGAGGGCGTCTTGAGGCACGTCGTCCTACTCGGCGGGAGCGTGCCCTGCCCGTCGAGGGATCGCGTGCCCGGCCAGCCTACTTAAATCATATTGGGCCTTGGCTGTGCATCGTTGGGCTGGGCTGCGAGGTGAGGTCGGGCCCAGGCCAGAACCCATACGAATGGATAAGTCAGGATTTTTGCAAGTGAATCTTAATAGGGTGGGGTACAAAGATGATCATTTTATTCTAGCCACACAAGCTAAACAAGTGTTTTATCTCACTGATCCAAAAAATACGAAAGGATCCATCGTGCTTTTATCTAACAAAGTAATTGATGATAACATTGGAGATCGAGGTGATATTGATGTTGAGAATGAATCGTATATTATAAATGATC